CTCTCTCTCTCTCTCTCTCTCTCTCTCTCTCTCTCTCTCTCTCTCTCTCTCTCTCTCTCTCTCTCTCTCTCTCTCTCTGTGTGTGTGTGTTACATGCTGCGCCTGCACACGAGGGCCATTTTCCAGGCACTGCGTCCCTCAGGCTGAAAGCCTGAAAACCAGGGCCTACAGGCCCCATGACTGTTCAGCCCGAAAGCCTGAAAACAGGGGCCCACAGTCCCTGTGTCGTTTCAGACTAAAAATGGCAATAGCCTTTTTAGCCTGAAACGAAGGGCCATTTTCGGTCGTTCATAAGACGACCGGCCCTGAAACTCAGGCACCGAACCAGGGTTTCGGGAACAGGCTATTCTTAGCCTGTTCCCACGCCAGCCTCAAGCAGCTGCTGCAGCGCCAGCCCCTGGCACACTTCGGCATTGGCAAGAGCAGCCTCCTCGGCCTGGCTCGCCCTTCAGGCAGTCAGGAGGCAGGCCGAGGTAGTACATAGGGACTTCCCACGCACTTCATGGGTAGGCAGGAGGCAGTAGTAGTCTTCAGGATTCGGCAGCAGCACTCTGGGGGGAGCGCTGCAGGAGTGGTAGTAGCGTTAGCCTTTAGTCTTCAGCGCTGGGCGCAGTAGGTAGCTGTAGTCTCCAACGCTGGGCGCCATAGCTAGGATAGCACTAGAGAGAGAGAGAGATTGGGCGGAGGCCAGAGGTACTTACCTGCAGCGTCGTTGCTCCAGCTTCGTCTTCAAGGTACCTGCAGCACAGCGCCAACATCACAGGTTAGTCCTGGCTCGTAACAGAGAGAGAGTTCTTCTTCTTCCTCTTCTCAGTCCACCATCTCCCTCTCAACCTCTCATCATCTGACTTCACTGCATCTGCAGACTACGAGAGAAGAGAGAAAGAGCTTGGTGACATTGGATCCAGACTCGACTTTTGGACTTTAGACATTGCAACGTGGGATTATCTGGGACTTGTGACAAAGACTTGGTGTTGACGACACTCCCATCTCTTCGTCTGATTCCCTCCTCTTCGTCTGTGTATGTCTGGACCTGGCGCTTTCTTCCTGTGTACAGCGCCAGGCTCCCTCACACCTGGTGATGGATATGATGTATGTTTGGTCTGCGTTCAAACATTGATTGGGCTAATCATTAGCATTCTAGCATTCTGCTTCGCTATCTAATACTATGTCAATGAGGTCAGGTCAGGATTTGTATCTAAGTCTTCCCTGCGCTATTCAGCACCATTTTGTATGTATTAGAATGCACATTGCTTGTTGAGTTTCTACTTACACTGCATTGTCCATTCAGTCCTTTTAATCACATTGTGGATCCTCGGTTTCTATGTACATCGCCCAACTGGGCATGTAACAGTTGGTATTGGAACGCCGCACGTGAATCAGGACAACCTGATCTGACACGTGTACGGGGACTAGATAGCTGATTAGTCTTTATTGATTGATTAGAGCACAGTAGTTAGACCCCAAAATCATGATTTTGACCTTACTGCTGAAAATCGATTTTTTTTTCTTTCTTTTCTTGGATTTTTTTTTCTCGCTATTGTGTTCTGGAAAATCGTAATAGCGCAACATCTGAAATTCCTATTTTCGTTTTTTTCCTCTGAAAATTCGAAATTTCATTGTGTAAAATCCGGAATATTCTTCTTTTCGAAAATTTCGATTTCCTGTTGCATTTCCCGTTACTTAGAAATTCGGAATATCTTCTTTTTCGAATCTCGTTTTTCTGGAAACGGTACGGGAAATCCCTCTTGCAGGTATTATTTTCCAAACTGCGAATATTCTCATCTGAGAAAATCCGAATACTTGTCATTTCTTTTCGGAAAATTTCTTTCGCAGTTCTAGGATTCTGTTAGTCAGTTCTATAAATCATTTGCAGTCTGAAGTCGAAATTTTTTTCCTCTCATTGATCATTTCAAACTTCAAGGGAGGCCGGGAGACCTACTGAACTTGCAAAAGTCGGGATTTTTATTTTTCGAATTTTTTTTGCAAAGTTCAAACTTTTCTTTTTTGATTAGTGGCTCCTTATCTGGGCGATTCTTCCCACCCAGCCTCCCCATCTATGTTGTTTCCCCCTCTGGCCTTACCTTCTCTACCTATCTCCGGGTACCCCCTGCGACGGCATTGGTGAGTTGCCATGCCTGCAGGCCACGGAGGTAGACTACGTCAGCATGACACGCTAGCAGACCACGTCAGCAGGACACGTCAGCAGGACACGTCAGCAGGACACGTCAGCAGGACACGTCAGCCGACAGAGCAGGAAATACCACGTCAGCAGGCCCCCGGCCTGGTATATGCTGTTGCGGTCACAAACAACCGTCATGGACCAGAGGTCCGGAGAAGCAGACGAGGCCTATCAAGCCCGGATCTTGGCTTGGAGTACCGAAACAAAGAAACGGGCGGATGACGCAGCAGCAGCAGCGAAGAAGAAGGCAGAGGATGCCGAGCAGGCACGTCTGCTGGCACTTGAACAACAACGCCAGCATGACGAGGCAGCAGCAAGGGCTGCCGATGAAGAAAGAAACCAACGTCGTGAGAAGGTATTTAGCGAAGAGCAGACTTTGCTCACAATGGCAGCGGCATGGCGGACCGAGGCCGAGAATGGCAAGTTGGAGGATTGCGAAAACAAGATCGCTCTCCTCGTCTCGCATCTCACAGACCTCCTGGCAACCTGCATTACACAGCAGGAGGATATCCACAGCCTCGACGACTCGCTAGCTCAAGTACAAGGCCGCCTTCAGCAGCTGGAGCAACAACCTGTCGCCGCCCCCGATGCAAGCTCTTCCAATACCTCCGATCGCCTCGAAGCGTTCGAGATGGACGTTGGTTCCCTCATGGACGGCGTGCAGTTACAGCAGACCGCAACGCAACAGTTGCAGCAGCGGATCTGTACTACCGCCAATACCTCAAGTTCGAAACCGCGCGAGACAACTCCAAAGTTTGACGGGCAGGAGATCTTTTGCGACTCGACCAAGACAGATCCGGTTCCATGTTTCCGCAAGTTCGAGCTCACGCTGCAACTACACAATGTCAAAGAACACAAGTACCACCATGCATACTTGTACTCTCGCTCAGGGGGCGCGTGCCAGGCTTGGTTGGACAACCTCTTGTCCAAGTACGGAGTGGTAGCTAACGACTTGCACACCAAGATCAGTTGGGATGATCTGAAGGCAGCGTGGCACAAGCGGTTCCAAGTCGAGCCGCCAGAGATCAAGGCTATGGACAAGCTCATGGTCTTCGAACAAGGCACGCTGTCGAGTACCGATTGGATCGCTGAGTACCAACGCTTGACGTCAGTCCTAGACATCCAGATGGACTTCAAAGCCATCCGCCACTATTTTATCTCAAGGTCCTGTCCGACATTAAGCAATGCCCTGACTCATGTCGAGGACACCTTGACGACAACGGCGGAACTTTTTGACAAGGCCGCACAGATCATCATTATGAACAAGGAGGCTAAGAACCTGCGTTTGTCTGCGGCAGGTCCGAGCAGGGACCAGCATCGGCCAAGAGTGGTCGTGGTCGCGGCGGCAACACAGTTTGACCAAACCAGCGAGGTTGTGTCTGCCAGTGAAGGGGACAGACTTGCACCCGCCCGGGAAGGTGGCCGCCCCGGCAGAGGTCGAGGACGCGGCAAGACGAAGACACACACCGCATCTAGCCCCGGGCCCGACGCAGCAGCTCCTGCCCCTTGGTCCCAATATGGCATCTCCGAGCAAGCATTCAAGGCGCACACGAGATTCCACTACTGCCTATGGTGCAACAGTGATCTCCATCAGAAACTGGTCTGCCCTTTGAAAGGCAAGGGCAAACAGGGAAACTAAGCACCGCCGAGAGTGACTTGACAACACTCTCGACGCCTCCGGAACCGGTTTCTTCGCGAGTAACCGGCCTTCATTCCGAGGTGCACGCAGAAGTCGATAGTCCTCCTCTTCTACTTTCTTTTGAGGACTATGCTGCCCGGCTCGTTCCTACGCTGGGTACTCAAGCTCAAGGACAAGAAGTGTATGCGGTTTCTTCTCCGTCCGGCAGCGGTGACATATCGTCTTGAAGTGGTTCTTCACGGGAATCGACGCGTGAGTTCAACATAGAGGTATTGGACCCGCTCACGTCCAAGGACTTTGCATGGCTTCCTCTCCCGACCACGGGCCGCTTGCCGGGACCGCAAGGCGCAGCACTATGCGCTCATCTCCACACTTACTTATCCTTCTATGCCCCACCAACTTCGCCGACGGATGACAAAGTCCCGGTGGGGGACATCCTTGCGTATACTACCAAGGTGGCCCACGAGTTTCGCACGCAGCGATACAATGACAACAACGCACCGCTCATGTATGTCCGCATTCAAGTTGGGCAAGCATCCTGCAGCGCTTTGCTGGATAGCGGCGCGTCTTGCAATTTCATGAGTCAATCCTTTATGCAAAGGGCCAGCCTTCGGGCACAAGTTCGGAGGAAGGCAAACCCGACGGCGATCAAGTTGGCAGATGGAAAGACGCAACAACTTCTCGACCGTTACATCGAGGCCGTACCGGTCTATTTCGCACCTCATGCATGCGAACCGGTGACATTCGATATTCTCGACACGGACTTCGACATCATTCTGGGAACGCCTTGGCTTGCAAGTGCGGATCACACCGTCAACTCCCACCGACGGACTCTTAGCGTTCGTGACGCCTTCGACGCGGAAGTGGCATGTATTATTCCTCTACCGCACCCTTCGATTCGGTGCCAAGTGGTGACGACCAAATCATTCCGGGCGACTTGCGCTTACGAGCAGCCCGAGGAAATCGGCCTATGTTTCCTACGGACCATCGCGGTAGCCGACTCTTCACCCACGGACTTGTCTTCAGACCCCCAGGTGGTGCGGTTGCTGGACGAGTTCGCCGACATCTTCGAGTCACCTATCGGTGTGGTGCCGGATCGGCCGATCTCTCACGAGATCATTCTTGAGGCCGGTGCCATGCCGCCGAAAGGTTGCGATCATCTTAGGCATCTTCAACGAGTGTTGGAGACGTTCCGCCGCGCCAAGTACAAGGCCAACCGCGACAAGTGGGAATTTGTACGGCAAGAGCTGGAGTACTTGGGCCATTTTGTCACACCGGAGGGCATCAGTCTGCTATCGGATAAGATTCAAGCCATCCAAGAGTGGTCGGAGCCTCGGAACGTCACGGATGTGCGTTCATTCCTTGGCCTCGCCGGCTACTACCAGCGTTTTATCAAAGGCTACTCGATGATCGCGGCCCACTTGGCCAAGCTTCAATGCGAGGATCGACCGTTTGACTTCAGAGAGGAGGCGTGAGAATCATTCTTTGCTCTTAAAGCCGCGCTATTATCTGCGGAGGTCTTGCGGATATATGACCCGCTTTTGCCTACGCGCGTAACTATGGATGCGTCAGCTCTGGCATTGGTGCAGTCCTCGAGCAACATGATGGTGTGGACTGGCACCCGGTCGAGTATTTCAGCAAGAAAGTGTTCGTCGTGCATTCCATTGACGATGCACGCAAGAAGGAGCTCCTCTCCTTCGTCCACGCGCTCAAGTGGTGGCGGCACTTCCTCCTTGGTCGAAGCCAATTTCGATGGGTAACGGACAACAATCCGTTGGTCTTTTACAAGACCCAAGACACCATCAACATCACCATCGCTCGATGGATGGCTTTCATCGACCAGTTCGACTTTTTTCCCGATCACATTCCCGGGAAGTCGAACCATTTTGCGGATGCTCTTTCACGGCGTCCGGATCATTGTACCGTGGTTTACTCAACCTTCGAGATCGACGATGACCTGCGGAACAGCTTCATCCGCGGCTACCAAGTCCACCCCGAGTTCCGCGACAAGTACGCGAATTGCTCCTCTCCTAATCCGGCGCCTTCTCACTACCGAATCCAAGAGGGATACTTGCTTGTCCACACGCGGGGGAAGGACCTTCTTTGCGTACCAAGTGATCCTCACTTGCGTACATGGCTTCTTGGCGAGTTCCACGATACTCCCACCACCGGACACTTTGGAGTCAATCGCACGATTGGCCGACTTCGCGAGCGATTTTGGTGGCCCGGCCTTCTCGGCGACGTCACGCGTTATTGCGAGTCATACGATGTTTGCCGACGCTGCAAACCCCACAACCATCGTCCGTACTGCGAGTTACGACCATTACCGGTCCCATTGAGGCGAAGGAAAGCGATTGCCATGGACATTACCGACCCGTTCCCCAAGCACAAGACCGGAGTGGATGGGATTCTCACGGTGGTCGACCGACTCACAAAGTTCGCCATGTTTTTGCCTTGTCGATTTCATGCCAAGGCACCGAAGTTGGCCGAGGTTCTCTACGCCGGTTGGATTCGAACAAAGGGTTACCCCAAGGAAATCGTCTGCGACCGTTGTTGTACTTTTTCAGGTCGGATCGCTTCAAGCGACCGGAAAGCCAACAGGCTGTCACGCAGGGTTTTGGATATGATTGCAATAAATAAAATAAATTAATTAAAGCAAATCCCTTCCTATTAAGAGCGTCCGGCTTCGAGCGAGACCCTTCAATTGCGGTCTTCGCCGGTCCCCGGTCTTATGAATCTTTTATTTTGATTCGGAACAGTAGAGAATCATACAAATAATAGTCATAAAATACTGGTATGTCATGCATGCATTAATTTTGTCGGTCTACTAGTTTTGAGAACTGTGACAGAATCATCAAGGAGTACAACCATCAAGCAAAACAATAATGCAAGAAACAAGACTGACTGACTCGAGCAATGACAAAGTTCAATGAGGGAAGAATGAGAACTCAAAATAGTCTCAGAAAGTACATATGGAAGAGAGCATGGCCAGCACTAATCAAGAGTCCTCACTCATCCCTCTGAACCTCACACTCAATCTTTCATTTTGTTGTCTGTCGTTTGGGCTTCTTGCCATGTCTCCGTACTCTCTGAGGTTGTGGCCTCTGTATGTAGAGCCACCTGAAGCCTGCAAGCTCTGAACATTTTCATCCAAGGTACATGACCCGAAAGTCAATCATGGAGCATAACTCTTCCCATAGTGTAGGTAGGAAGGGTCGGGAGAAAATCCCCCGTCTGAGATGTGGGAACTTTGAAGGCTCTGTCACTGCCTCGTTATCGATCACTGCAGGAGAGATGTGCCTCTTGGCCAGATCTACCAGTCCACCCCAAAATGAGCCGTCGGTGAGAATGAAGGGTACCAGAGGTTTAGGATAATCAACGAAAAGCTTAGGACCAAAGCTACTAGCTTTGTGCCCCCCTGGAGTCTCTCAACTTTCCATTGCACGAACCCGGCTGCTGCAACCCACACTGCATCAAAATGAGGGTGTGTCTCTTTCCCTTTCTTCAGAAAAATCCGCAGGTCTTTGACTGTACCTTCAACAAACTCAGTGAGGACGATGAAGATAGACAGATCTTCGCGCTTGAACCCATCGACCTTGACATACTTGTAGGGGAAACTCTCCTTAGCAGCTATTAGATTGAGGTTGTCAAGGACCGACTGGTCAACTGAAAAGGGGGTGATTTCCCTTATGTATTTGAGAAATTGGTCGCTCTCCAGTAGTTAGAGGGGAAGCTGATTTTTACTGACAAGTGTTTGTTATAGGTCGGGTCAACAGTAATCCACTACGTAGGCAGCAGCCGCTGCAGGGCTAACTCCTAAATCTGTCTGAGCGCTGACTGAGTGCCAATCAAATGTCGGTTAACTGTTGCTTAACCCCTGATTGAGACTTGAATATTATTGATTGATTGTTGATGGAGAACTGAATATTGCTGATTGGCTGCTGATTGAGAACTGAATATTACTGAGTAATTGCTGACAGAAAAGTTGAATGTTGCTGAGATGTCTCCTGACTGTCTCTGGTTTGCTAACTGATTCGTTTGCTGCTCATGATTCAATGATGTACTCTGTGTCCGGTTGTGACCTGTTTGTGAATCTGGTCCGTTTTCTCTAATCTATCTCTGTCTGACGCGAATTTTTCTCTTCCAGAATTGATGGCTAAACTTTCTCACTGATTTCCAGCAACCATCCTCCTTGCTTCCCTGTCTCTTATACACATCTAGATGCAATGATGTGACAGGTGTCCGGTTGTGACCTGTTTGTGAATCTGGTCCGTTTTCTCTAATCTATCTCTGTCTGACGCGAATTTTTCTCTTCCAGAATTGATGGCTAAACTTTCTCACTGATTTCCAGCAACCATCCTCCTTGCTTCCTCAATGGATCCTACCGATGAGAGGGTGCTGTGTAATTTCCCGTCAGATCCATGAATGTAATAAGTGTACTCAACGAGTGTCTGGTCTCTCACTAACATCAGAGCGTATTCCATCATAAGTCTTGACTGGCAATGAAAATTCTCAATCACTCTCTCTTCCCAGCCTTCGGTCATGCCCCAGTGCAGTGAGTAAGTTACTCTTATTGTGTCCCTTTTCTCCATTTTCTTTAAAGGCCCATCACATTGGCCCCGGATGCGAGATTGAGCGGCTCAAGAGAAGGTTTGAATGAGAGATCGCCACTCGGGTTTCTGCTAAAGAGCATTTTGCTGATAGCGAAGGGTTTCTGAGGATTGGCTCTTAACTAGACCATTCAGCGTCCACGACATTGGGGTAAGAGGCTAACAAGATGTGGCTGACCCACGTTGGACTGCTCGATACTAGCCTCTCACTRGACTTAACAGTYTGATTRYTGCAGGTCTTCGCCCCAGATTAGCCCACAACTAGAGGAAATTTGGACRATGTATGATGCTAGGACGYTGCAGAGTTCTGATTGTCTATACTAATTTTCCTGACCGATGGCAACCACTCATACCTCAGCAGTCCGCTGGCACTYGATGCTCYCAACATTTGTTCATTGCAAAACTCTTAGTAAACTACCAGCCGTAGGAGCCTCCATTCAATTACCAGTTGACTGATTACTTATCCATAAGATTCGAAAATGCACCATGTCCGCTCATACACAGCTTGACAGTGTTCGGAGTAGAGCTGTTTGGCTACTAGCACTTACAATTGAGATTTTCGGCYCGGGTCTTGACCAACGGTGGTCCACGTTCAGTTCGGTACACTACCCACTACTAGAGCCCAACTGTTAGACTAACTGAGAGAACTTACGACAATAGTTTGCGGCCAGGGTACCTAGCAATAGCCCATTACGTCCTAGACGTTTACCAGTAAACTGCTGACCTTCAAGGTATGTACCCGAGAGATCACCAGTTGTCTGGCCGTTCACCCATAGAATCGGGATGTGTTATGTCCACTTCGCCTATAAATTGAACAAAAGGGGATGTAAACTGATCGTCTGCCTGAGCTTATGATTTGGCCCTCAACACTTGGTTCTCAATCCAAAAAAAAGTCCACAGTTTGATCAACAGAAGGGCCCGCGGATTGATCAATACTATATATCACCCGAGTCCACGCATCAGAGTCAGGCCTAATCAGTCCTTCAGTTCTGGTTTTATGGGCAAGGCTCAGATAACGTCTTCTGCAACACTACATTCTCCTGACTACATTTTCTCTTAACTCTGCGGTTCAAGCACAAACCCAATTTTCATCTGGAACACAAGGGTTATTTGCAAGCCATCTGCCGCAGGCAGCATGCCTAGTCCAAGCACTCATGCAGGGTATAACCAATACTATAGGCTTCAGAGTAGTACTCAGGGTTAATAGTGACAAGTTTAGTACAGTTTCAGATTGACGGCTACCTACACGTTGCGTGTGACCTTGGGAAAGATATTCGGGACAATAAAATTGTCCCGTCAAATACTCATCTCTTGACGTGTAGAGTATGCCTTGATTTCATCTGTTGAACATAAGTTTATCGGGAGTTGAGCAGATGCGGGGCTACCAGAACTTGTTCTGCCTGACTGTCAATTTGTGGGGTTGTACGTGTTCTGCAGATAAATCGTTTTTTTTATTAGAATAACTAAATCATCAAAACACTCCAATCAAGCTGGAAGGTTTACTGAGCCAACATCCAGAGGTTACTAAGGGCAGACAGTATCAGTCCCCGTCAAGCAAGAACTTGGCGATCAGGTAAGCTACCCTTTTCAATTGTCCTTTCGTCCCACAACGTTTCATCACTCTGTCTCTATACTCAAGAGAAAGGAAGTGAGATTGATAGTTCTACTGACTAACAATGCATCTGCAAACCTTTCGAAGCTACCGCAAACTCACACAACCCTTTTTGTATCTGTTTGTTTCTCACTTTACAGACTTGCAAGCTGGGTGTGAGGGCTTTTCCACCGTCATCGCTCATTCACAAGAAAATTGTAACCCCAAGTGTTCGCGATGCATAGTCGGCCACTGAAGCGCGTGTGGACCCAAGTGGTTACGCATCCGCTGATTACCAGGGTACATTCAAACCCACATGACTGCACGCTCGTCAGTTCACGTAAGACATTTTTAGGTCCATGTGATCCATACTCTCGTACGAGCTCACGTATCACCGCGACAGTTCACGCGCTCTGTGTTCAGGAAGGATCATACATTTTGTGAACCGAACAAATGGGGGCGACAAGGCTCCAAACGGCCCTTTCTTCAACTTCACGCTCGACAATTTAAAGCTTCGAGCAAGTCAAACAGTCCAAAGCTTTGAACAAAAAGCTTATTCATATCCCCTAAGACTTAACAAGACCCTCATGTATTCATATGTACCGATGATTTTCACTACTGAATTTGAAGAAAGGATGGGAAAATTTAAAAGGAATGGGCTCCGAGTTTCTGGTGATTACCACCATCTGTGCATACTCAAGTCAATCGAGGGCAATGAGATCTGACTTCCCACCATCCATACAACACCCCTTTTCTCCTTAGTCCTTCCTTCGACGGTCACGCTCGAAACTGTTCTCTTACAAACTTGACAAGCAAGGCATGAGCAAAAGTAAGCACGAAGAGATGAGTTGTCGTCACTAATAGCAAAAGTCTCTACGTCATCAGAGGATGCACAACTGGCGACCACCGTGGATAGGAATGTCTCCTTCCACAAGTCTTGGCCTATTGAGTGGGGCACTTATTCTGACATGATAGCCGAAACCCACTCCTCCTTGAGTGTTTGCTTTTCATATCTCCCCTCTCACTTGTGAGTGTTGTCTTTTGTCAGTAGTACCAGCTGATTACTTATACGGGCACCTTGTTCTAGCGCGTTGTTTTCACTTGAGCATTCTTCTCTCTCGGTTACACTAAAGACTAATACCATACTTCTTGAGCCTGCACTCAGCCCCGCCACTTACGCTACGAAAGACACACGAGCCAAAAAGGAGAACGAACGCATCTTCTCCTCAGAGACAAACCTCACATACGGGACCCGGCAGGATGGGATCACATGTGTCTTTGTCGCACGTGGATGATCCTTAATGATCTCGCACGACTCTGAGTAAATGAGAACTTTCAGTCGACCTCGGATTGTCTATCTCATCTCACCCAAACAGAGGTCTGGTGTGATGTATCCTTGCCATGCAGTGATGACAGACATTAGCGGCCAGGACAGTACATCAGTTTCGCCACTCTGGGAGTGGGCTTCTTCTTGATGCTCCTACAGGGAGCATGAGCGGCATTGAGCATTCGGCCAGTGGCCTCTGACCATCAAGAAGAAGGGGGGAGGAACAGAGTCGAAAATCGTTACTGAGTCGCTTGATGGTAAGTGCTCTCCGATGAGTGCCCACTTCTCATTCACACACGCTCCTTACGGGAGCCGCCCGCGCACACCTCCTCCCCTTTTCCTAACCCGCCACAACCACCTAGTGAGCTTGAAACTTGTCCCCAAGCGCCGACCTCAAAGCCCTACTCAACCAGCCTGGAAGCAGCGCTTGGGTGGACGAGTTTCGATGACTTTCACTATCAGGGAAATTATCCGCCACTCGCTTACTTACTTCCTGGGTTCATGTTGGTGAAGGAAGCCGAGCGGACGACACAGATGATGCAGACCTGCAGGGCAACACCGATACTAAAGAGTGTGTCCCTTAACACTCCTTCGGGATTGATCTTCATTGGTTACCCATTCGATGATACTATTAAGTGTGAAGACCAAGCGCAACGTAGATCACATACTAGCAAGTAAGGGATGCTCAACGATATGTCTTCATCGATAAATTGCTAGCAAGAGCCACTCGTCCAAAGTCAGCAAGTCTGCACATGAGCCATCTATGGCTAGCATCCTCCCCTTCAGCTGCGATTACCCGTGCTTGGCTTTCGACGTACTGCCGACCTGTCTCGAAGTCCGAAACTTCGTTCCTGGGGATGCACATGCGAACTCACGAGCGGGACATCAACAACATTGGATTTTCCCTCTGTCTCGCTCCCCCTCCTTTCTCCATCCCCTCTCTTTGACCTTTTCTTCTCGTCTTGCTAGTATCACACACACCTCGTACACTTGTCCACAATCGTCTTCATGCTAGGGAAGAAGGATGACTTTCGACCAACCCAGAGCGGGAGCTCGAGGCTTCGTGAACATGAAAATCTCGCTGCTCCGGCCAGGCGACGTTGACGTGAACTGGAACTACTATACGCTTCGCTACGGTCTCTCCCACTCTCTCTCACATGCCTTCTCCCCCAACCCCTCGCCACGACATGAAGACTCGCCGCAGCTCAGCAGACACAAAAAGTCGCGCGCGAGCGTGGAATCAGCGGACGACGTCAACTGTACCTAGCAAGCTCGTGCCCTGCCCATTCGCGCAGTCTCCCCTTTCGTTGACCTCTTCTCACTCCCTCGGACTGCCACGCGTAGCCTGTGTACCGCGTATCCCCCTCTGTACTTCCCTTCTCTCGTGTAACGGCCTCGCAGTCTCAGTCCCTCCGCTGAGCCGAACTGGCCTCAGGGCCATCCTCTACAGACTCTGTTGGCGGGTGCTCTCTCCTCCATTGTTCCAGCCCATGCCAAGACTGGGTCTGCGCATCGCTCGCTTCGGACTCGGCCTCTGAGTCCCGGTCCAGCTCCTGCTGCTCTCGTTCAGTAGTACTCGTGGTTGTCTCTTCCTCGTGATAAGTGACCGTGACCTTCAGGGCCGCGGTCACTCCGTCCCTTCTGCACCTCCACTCGGCTCGATCCCGAGCCTCCGTAACCGCGCCCTGGACTTTCTTGTCCTCCCTCATTTCTTGCTCCTTCCCCCCGTAGACGTTGATCTTTAGTCTGGCCTGCCCGTCACTCTTAATGTAACTCAGGCAGGCATCCACCGTAGCCCCTTCTTCGCGCATCGGCTCCCAGCTCCAGTACAATCTTAGATGGCCTGGCCTATAGCCAAAGAGGCCGTTGCTACGCGCCATAGCCAGGCAGCACAGCAGACCCTACACAGCGCTAATCTGCCTGCCCAGAATAGTAAGTCACCCACTAGAATGCGCAGAGTAGACTACTCACAGGACCTGCAACGCGCTAGAAAAGCGGCTAGCAATCTCAGACTGAAGAGGGCACACCTCACGCACACCGTGCAACTCCACCCCTTTCTTCTCTTTATAGCCCAAGATCCCTGTTTTCTAAATATGAGATAACTCTCAAAGTTCTACTAGCTAAGTGCCCGTGGTGCGGGGGGTGCGGGCAATGCCCGCTAAAAACAAAAGAAAAAAAGAAAAAAGTTACGCCCAGACAAAGCTGTAAATTTCATCTCATTTCACCACTATTAACAAATTCAAGAAATGGAACACGCATAGACAGACAGAGAAAGGGAGAGAGAAAGAGAGAGAAAGGGAGAGAAAGAGGAGAGAGAGAGAGAGACACAGAGAGAGAGACACACAGAGAGAGAGAGGGAGATATGGAGACATACAAAGACAGAGAGAGAGAAATCAACAAAACAACAAAGAAAAAAAAAAGATCAACATCAGTATAAAAACAAAATAAGTTTAATATAAGCATTTATTTATGGACCCATTAAAGTTAGCAAGTGGCCGCAATATGATCAAGGCAGAATGATTGTGTAATGGAATTGACCTGAACGTAAAGAAATGTAATAATGTCAAGTTAAAATTATTTTGTTGTGTCTCTTTGTCTCTCTCTCTCTCTCTCTCTCTCTCTCCGCCCTCCCATTTATTTATGTCTCTCTTCCTATTTTCCTTGCAAGCGCAATTACTCAACCAAAACCGAAGTTGATCATAAAAAAATTTGCCATTAACGTAACGCTTGGACAACCACCGAATCAACAGCTCTTTGTTCCCTATCTCTCTAATAAGACCAATCAACTTCCTTCACTGCAACGATACTCTTGCAGCACCTCACGAACAGAAACTTGTTGCAGCACTCTGCGACGATACTCGTGAAAAGTTCCGAATCGACCTTGTCTTTGCCGATTGTAATCGAGGTGAATTGCAGCGTTCACACATCTCCAAGTGTTCATGCTCGTATTTAACGACGCCGCTGCTTCCACAATATCTCGCACCCTGTGAGAACTGTCAAGATAGGACAGGTGTGCAAGTGTCTTTTTGGGACCAATAGATTGAAAAGACTCATACACGGCGATGTCAAAATCAGAAGAACTTGGTTGTTCCAAGGGTCTTGTATGGACATGCAAATGGTCTCTTGATGGCGTATGAGCGGGCAGAACACAACTCATAGGAGACGGAGTAGGCGGAGCGGCCGGCAAAGCAGAAACAACAACTGAAGGATTGACAGTCGCGGTTGACATATTGGAGGGTGAAGCATAATCCGCAAGACGTTGAAAATTTGGAGGAGACGCTGCTTGAAGGGGAACTCTAGGGCCCGGAGCAGAATGAGGAGTGGAAGAAGCAACAACGGGAGGAATCCTTT